AGGCGGAAGGATTGCCTGAGCCCAGCAGGTCGAGGCTGCAGTGGCCGGGAGCGTGCCATTGCCCTCCAGCCTGAGTGACAGAGTGAGACTCCTACTAAAAAAATAAAAATAAAAATAAATAAAAAGTAAAAAAACTTGTCAATTTTGATGCCTTTTAGTGCTTCTGCTGTTTTTTAGTTTCACCTCTTCCACATTTCCCTTTGAGGACTTTTTTCATCCAGAGAAACAAAACAAAAAAAAAAAAAGTTGCTTGGGGTAAGAATGGGTGAAAAGGGAGGGTGGGGCACGGGGATCACGCCATTTTTGGTCAAAAACTGTTGAACACTCAGTCACCTGTTTATCACAACTTGGGACATTTCTTCCACACATCCTGACTCAACCTTCTCAGAACTTCCAGCTAAAAACTTTTCTTGACTATTTAACCAGGAGGAACAAATTCTGAGTATACTACAAGGAGCCTGCTCTTCAAAAAAAAAAATTCTGAGGTTTTTGGGGTCCCCTCTGATATAGTCAAGGCTTCAGTCAGAAAGGAAGAGTGGCAAAGGCCATCTTGTCACTCTGCATTCAGGCCCACAGCACTCAACCGCACGCAGTTGAGTCACAGAAGAACCTGAGAGGGGCTGGTTTCAAGGCCAAATCTCACAGTAGTACATTCTGCCTGAAAACCCTCTCTCGCTTTCTTTTTTTTGAAGGAGAGTCTCACTTTGTCACACACACTAGAGTACAGTAACACACTTATAGCCTTGACCTGCTGGGCTCAGGCGATCTTTCTGCCTCAATCTTCCAAGTAGCTGGAACCACCGGCATGCACCACTATGCCCAGCTAATTTTATTTATTGTAGAGGCAAGGTCTCACCAAGTTGCCCAGGTTGGTCTCAAGCCCGTGGACTCAGGCAACCCTCTAGCCTCCGCCTCCCAAAGTGCTAGGATTACAGGTGTGAGCCACTAGCCCAGCCATGTCTCTCGCTTTCAAGCTCTCTCTTCCTGCTGAAACAGGGGTGTCCTTATCTCACACTGGGACAGAAAGTCTCTGCCCTCTAGCCTGGGCATGGGAACCATCACTGTGTCTCAATGTAACAAAGAAAGCATCCTGTGTCTTCAAGTATCAGTTTAGCATTCTGATAACAAATAAATAACATTAAAAAAAATGATTATGAAAAAGATTCCAAAATGAAATACAGAAAAACTTTACATGGAGTCTTATTGCCTTTATACGGAATCACTGTTAAAAACCTACACTACAAGTGTCACAGATGTTTCCCATTTATCTGTTTGTAGTCCCTAAAAAGAAAAACGAAAGGTCCTCTCTGGCTCTAACCACTGCCATTGTCCATGCTCTCAAGTGAAAGGCGGCTCTCTCACAGCATGTGTAACAGCAAGGGAAATCACCCACTCTCTTCAACCCGCATGTTCCAAAACACGCTGTGGTAGTCAGAATAACAGCCTCCAAGATGACCACAACTCAATCTGTAGAACCTGTAATATGTTACCTGCAAAAAGGACTCTGCAGATGTGATTAAGGACCTTGGAAAGGGGAGTTTATCCTGAATTATCCAAGGGGATCTGATCTATCCCATGGGTCCTTAAAAGCAGGGAAACTTTCCCGACTGTGGTCAGAGATATGAGGATGGAAGAATGATCAGAGATGCATACCTGGTCGCTCTGAAGATGGAGGAAAAGGGCCACAAACCAGGGAATGTGGACGTCTCTAGAAGCTGGAAGAGGCAAGGAAACAGATGCTCCCCAAGAAGCCTCCAAAGAACAAAGCCTTGCTGACACACTGATTGTAGCCAAGGGAGACTCATTTTGCACTTCTAATCTATAGCACTATAAAATATCAAATCTATGATGTTTTAAGCCACTAGATTTGTGGTAATTTGTCACAGCAGGCACAAAAAAACGAATGCACCACATTCAGAGACTCCTAACAATATGCAAAGTTATCTAGGGAAAAAGGCATAATCAAATTGCCCAAATATTTAGAGCCACAAGAGAGTTTTTTGTACATGTTTCAATATATTCACTTCTATTTTGTCCTCACAAAAGAGAGGACATTCACTTCTCTTGTCCTCACAAAACTCCAGTAGTTAAAAAGCCAGCCAAAAACACTCAGCAGGATCTAGTGGAAAAATCAGGGGACAATTATGCTACCTTTTTCAGCCAAAGTGTTTGCACTGCTAATTCCCACTGTATCAAACGGATAACAAAATTTTTTTTTTTTAATTGGAGTCTCACTCTATCACCCAGGCTGGAGTGCAGTGGCACACTCATGGCCACCAGAGCCTCAACCTGCTGGGCTCAGGCGATCCTTCCACCTCAGGCTTCCAAGTAACTAGAACTACAGGCACATGCCACCACGCCTGGCTAATTTTTTGATTTATGGTAGAGACGAGGTCTCACCAATAAAGTTGCCCAGGCTGGTCTCAACTCCCTGAACACAGGCAATCCTCTCGCTTCGGTCTCTCAAAGTGCTGGGATTACAGGCGTGAGCCACTGTGCCCAGTCTAACACATTTTAAAAAACACAGTAAAGCCGGACTCGGTGGCTCAGCCTGTAATCCTGCACCTTGGGAGGCTGAGGTGAGTGAACTGCCTGAGCCC